ATTGCTGTAAACTATACATATAATATATATATATATATATCTTTGCGTGCGAGAAGCTGCGTTCGAGAAGAAGATAAAGCTGCGTTGGAAAAAGATGCCTAAGAGTGAGAGAGAGACGGTAAGTATAAATGATAATTAAAGCGCGCGATGAGGACCGCGCCTGGTGGCGGGGACTGGCGGCGGCGGCGGTGGCCCGCGCGCGATGGCGGCTGCGGACGGAGGAAACCTCTCGGCGGATACTAACCTTGCATCATCACGACGCGCACGCAACATTCCGCGCTACGTAATTTCCGCTACGCAATTTCCTGGACATCCTCCTGTTCCGCAACGTCACCCACTGTGATGTCATCCCCGTACACCCCTTGTGATGTCATCCACCTCACCCTGTAACACCATCCCCTGTGACGTCACTATTTATGACGTCATCCCGCCCTGTGACGTCACCCCCCTCGCCACATTTATGACGTCGCCCCCCCTGCCCCTCACCCCCCTCGTTGCCCATGGGTTAGATTTTAGAATCGGCCTAGTATACCTACTAACACCGTACGTTTTTTTTTCACCGAGATAATCTCTGCGTAGTGCACAAAGAAAAACGTTTTGTGCCAAAAATATTTTTGAAAAGAAGAAGGAAAAGTTAATAAACACTTTTTTACTTAATTTAAATTTGAAATTCTTTTACAAATATTTAAAATTCCAAAATTGATATTGTAAACAATATTTTTTAAATTAAATTAAAGTGTAAATGACAAAAGTGATAAAAATTTTTTTGCGATGACAAATTTTTCTATGTCAGATCCTCCATTTTGAATTTCGAAAACTTGATTTCAGATTCGGATTTAGTGACCTTAAAAATTTTGCTACTAAAATCTCATCACACAGTTCTTAAAACTTTTTCTTCAAAAACATTTTTGACACAAAACGTTTTTCTTTGCGTGACTATGCAGAAATTATCTCGGAAAAAAAACGTACGGAGTTGAAAAAAAATAAATTTTAAAGATAAAAGTTGGCACTTTAAGATGGCGTAAATAAAAGTAGAAAAAAAAATTTACTTCGCTTGCAAAAAAATCACAAATATGTAAAAAAACGTCAATTTTGACACCTTTACATTTCTCACAAACCTGACGTCATGATAGAGCAATTTCATTATCGAATTCGTATTCAGCGCGCGAAAATACATCGGAAATGATATCTTTTATTCAAACAGCAAAAATCACGTCGAGCAGTGTAATTCCTCTTTTTGTAAATGTAGTTTCGTCCGTCCACATTATTTTTGATAGATATGAATTATCGTTGTTAGATTGCTCAGGAAACCAATTACTAAAATTCAATCTCTTAAAATAATCCTGAGGTCTTAAGGTAAACTCGGGTATGATGGCCATAGTTTTTTAAAATGCAAAAAACATACATTTATTCTTGTTACTTTTTAACAATATTTGGGATATTACTTTCACTGAATCTTAAAGTAACAAATACTATCGAAATTAAAGAGAAAATGCTTAACAGAACTTTAATTTTTTCAAAATATTACAAAGTATGCATTGGCCATCTTATCTGATTTTTAGGGAAAAGATGGCCATGTGATATTAAGAAAGATAGCCATAGTATTTATAAATAAATAGTGAAAATAAAAGTATCAATTATAGGTCACATTGCAATTTACGTACCTTTATTGTAATGTTGATTAGGGCAGCTTAACTGTAATTTATTAGATATTATAACAGTTTTTAGCAGACACATGCAAAACTTTGCAGATAGTCGAAAGAAAAAATATTAGATAATATTTATAATATTGTTGTTTTAAACAGTGTACTCATATGAACTACTGTAAATATTGATTATCTTTAAGAATGACTATAAAAATGCACTATTTATCAATTAGGGTAGACCGGGGAGTAAAGGTCCCCGGGGATAAAGGTCCACCCCTTGTATCTCGGTAATAAAGCATTCACTAGAAAATTCCGCCACACAGTTCGTCAACTAAGAGTAAGAATCTTATGTCACACAGTTCGTTACTGCCTAATAACCGTCAGGAAACTTGCACGGATGTGCCCATGTGTTTGAGAGCCAAAAGTAAGATATTAGCGCCGCAGTTATTTTGGTTTGAAGGGATCATTTTTGCACCTAGATAGATTAAATAAGTGTATTTATTAATCTTATTCTATTGTTTTAACAGTGTGATTATTAGAATTGCTATTTCTATTATAGTTTTTTAATAACAATGCCGCAAAGTTTACGTGACTTGTTGGGGTAAAAAGTGCCATGGTTGTTG